ACAGTTATTACTGCACACATATGACAAATGACAACTTTTACGGATACTGGCCCCCTGTTGTGTGGATTGCTTTATGATCCGCATGCGGGCCATGACCCGCTGAACTTGCATCACGCGTGGCGGAATTGGATGTGATGATTGCTCAACCATCTGATTCCCCAGGTCACGGCCTGCATGCCGGTCTTGTCCCAGCGATCGACTCTTCTTGTTTTTCTTCTCCTCAATGTTCACTTGTACTGGAGTCAACTTCCTCCTATCTATCCCCCAACTACTCGTTACAGAATACACTATTCCATCCACTTGGCGTCTCATGTCTTCTCTTTCACCAAGGAAGCGGGCCTAAAGATCGCAATGGCAATTGTTTTATCAATTGACTTAACCCACTGCGATAGACTGATCCAAATTCGACCGCCAACTGAGGGGCTCATCAGGTTATGGCTAATGTGTTCAGCTGAACCTCATGAAGCCACGGATTCACGCCGGACACTAGGCGAACTCAGTGTGGAATAACCATCTCGTGCAGTTGTTAGTCCATTAAAGCTACCTCTTATCTCTGGGCCTCCAGACAGCCTGCGAGTTCTTCTCACTGGTGTTAGCACATTCGAGTGAAATAAATCCCATCTTCATTTGGGTGTCGCCATTTCCGCAGAGAGCGTACACGTTTGTACGGGAGAGTGGGTATAGGCATGGTAAACAGTATTATCCATGAAAGCCACTAATACTAGAAGAACAAGACAGATGCAATCACAACAACTGCCATCGTAGCAATGAGGACTATCTATATTTCCAGGTCCTTGACATCTCTGTGTGGTCTTTTTATCTGTCCGAATCACTTATATGGCACCCACAGACAGACAGTCTACCAGATAAAGAACGCTCCCTCGTCATAAAGGCGTCCTAGTGCTACATTTCCGTGTCAAAACCGTAGCTCAATTCTTACTAACTATGCTAATCTTAATAGCAATTATCTTGGAATTTAGCGCAAAGTCACCTGCATCACGAGCGGTTCTAGTTTCCGTGTATAAGCGATCCCTGTCAAAATATCGTTCGTGTGTTCTGCGCTTATTTAAATAAACGAATTAAGTTAAAGCAAACTGGATGTTATAACTGTTGAAGAGACATTTTCGGTCAACGCGTCTTTCTACCAAAAAAATGCATTTCTGAAAGGAATAACAAAATTTCGCATG